TACAAAGTTACTTAAAAGTTTACTTCTTATTGAGCTTTAACATATACGCACACAACTAAAAATTACTATTCTAGAGGTAAGAGCATATTCTCTATACCATTTTCAAATCGTTTTCTGTTTTCAATTGTCCAAAACAGTGAAAGCATGTTTTTGAAAATAAGTTAAAAATTTACAAAAAAAATCCAAAACGATAAACGTTTTTGGTGTTTTCAGTTATAATCAAGTCAAAATTTTCAAAACGCATTTTGGGTGTTTTCAAAACAATTTTTCAAAATGGTAAAAAGAACCCCTTTTCAACAATATCAAAATGAACACTCAAAACACAAAACTCAAAATGAATTCAAAACTTAAAACACAAAACTGAAATACAAAGTGAACAGTCCCTTAAAAATTGGAGTTAGTATACACTGATATGTGGGGTCCTTCTTCGGTTGCATCCCTTGGAGGTTCAAAGTAGTACATTACTTTCATTGATGACTGAAACAGAAAGGTATGAGTTTATTTTCTGAAAAATAAATCTGATGTATTTGAAACTTTTAAGAAGTGGAAGGCCATGGATGAGATAGAAAAAAGTTTGAAAGTAAAATATTTGAGGTCAAATAATGAAGGAGAGTACATAGATGGAGGGTTCAGTGAGTATTGTGCTACAGAGAGAATTAGGATGGAGAAGACCATTCTTTGGACACCACAGCAGAATAGTGTGGCTGAGCCCATGAACAGAACTCTCAATGAGCGTGCTAGGAGTTTGAGGTTGCATACTGGACTACCAAAAATTTTCTGGGTTGATGCCGTTAGCACTGCAACTTACCTAATAAACTGAGGACCATTAGTTCCCATGGAGTTTAGAATTCTTGAGGAGGTTTGGCGAGGTAAAGAGATACAATTTTCACATTTAAAAGTTTTTTGTTGTGTTTCTTATGTTCATATTGATTCTGATACTCGTAGTAAACTTGTTGTAAAGTCTAAAATATGTTTTTTTATTGGCTATGGTGATGAGAAATCTGGTTACAGGTTTTGGGATGAACAAAATAGGAAAATCATTAAAGGTAGAAATGTGATATTTAATGAACATGTTATGTACAACGATATATTAACTGCAGTGTCAGATGTTATAGAGATAGATCAAAAGAAATCTGAGTTTGTCAACTAAGATGAGTTGACTGAAAGTACTGTCTAGAAAAGGGGTGAAGAAGATAAGGAGAATGTAGATTCACAGGTAGATCAAAGTACACCTGTAACTGAAGTCCGTAGATCTTCCAGGACCATTAGACCTCCGGATCATTATTCACTGACTCTAAATTATCTCCCGTTGGCTGATGGTGGTAAGCCAGAGTGTTTTGAAGAAGCCTTGCACAATGACAATTCAAGTAATTAGGAGTTAGCCATGAATGATGAGATGGATTCCTTGTTAGGGAATCAGACATGGGAATTGACTAAATTGCCACTAAATTGCCAGTAGGAAAGAAAGCTTTGCACAACAAGTGGGTATACAGAATAAAGAATGAGCATGATGGCAGCAAGTGTTACAAGACCAGATTAGTTGTCAAAGGATTCTAGCAGAAGAAGAGCATTGACTACTTAGAAATATTTTCTCCAGTTGTGAAGATGTCAATAATTAAACTGGTATTGGGAATGGTGGCTATAGAAAATTTACATCTTGAGTAGTTGGATGTGAAGACGACATTCATTCATGGTGACTTGGAGGAAGACATTTACACGATTTACCCAGAATGGTTTCATTGTTCAGGGATAAGAAAATCTAGTTAGCAAACTGAGAAAGAACTTGTATTGCCTAAAACAAGCTTGAAGACAATAGTATAAGAAATTTGACAATTTTATGCACAGAATTGGGTTCAAGAGATTTGAAGCTGATAACTGTTGCTATGTTAAGTCCTTTTACAATTCTTATATCATTTTACTGTTGTATGTGGATAATATGCTCATTGCAGGGTCTAGCATTGAGGAGATTAATAATCCAAAGAAGCAATTGTCAAAACAGTTTGCAATGAAGGATTTGGGAGCTGCAAA